AGCAACATGGTCGAAGAAGAGTGTGGCGACGTCTTTGGCACTGTGCGAGGTCGTGCAAGGGATGAAGTGGGCACGTTTGTTCAAGCGGCAGACAATGACGTAGATGCAATCATGCTCGCGGTCGGTCTTGGGGAGGCCGCACATGAAGTCCATGGAGATGGACTGCCACCGGTGAGTTGGGATGGGCAATGATTGGAGCTTGCCGGGTTTGGCCCGGTTCGAGGGGTTGACAGCCTGGCACGTGGGGCACGAACGAATGTATGCCTTAACGTCGGCGAGTAAGGAAGGCCAGTAGAAGTAGCGGGAAATGCTGTCGAAGGTTTTCTGGAAACCGAGATGTCCTGCGGTCTTGGCGTCGTGGTGCTCGGCCAAGAGTTGAGTACGGAGGCCTCGTGCATCGGGGATGCAACGTCGGCGAGTGCCTTTGGTATCGATGTAGAGGAGCTTGTTGTGGAGGGAGTAGTCCGGAACTGGGTCAAGATCGCGGAGTTTGTTGTAAATGGTGGCGAAGTCTGAGCAGGAGAGATAGCCTTGGGTGTATCGATGATGAAGTGATGGAAGGAGTTGAATATGAGTCATGGCGGCGTAGACTTTCTCGGGGGGCTTGTGGTCGGGTCATCTCGAGAGGGCATCGGCAACGCGGTTGCTTTTGTCGGGGGTATGGCAAATGGTGAATGTGAACTGGGCAAGGAAGTCTAGCCAGCGGGCTTGGCGTGGAGTGATATCTTTCTTGGAGAGGATGGAGGAGACGATGGTGTTGTCAGTGTGGATGGTGAAGTATTGCCCGTCGAGGTACGGGCGCCAGACTGTGAGGGCGTGAATCACGGCGAGGAGTTCCTTCTCGTTGGAGGGGTAATTCATCTCCGCGGGAAGGAGCTTCTTGCTTGCAAAGGCGAAGGGGTATTCGCCCGGTGGAGCCTCGGGGTGAGTGGACGAGTCCTTGATGGAGGGGGTCTCAACGGTGTCGCGGGTAATGTTGAGACAGTACGGCTCCGATGGCGAAGTCGGAGGCGTCAGTGGTGACATAGAAATGGCGAGTGGGTTCGGCGATCTTGAGGACAGGGGCCGTGGTGATGGTTTGCTTGAGTAAGTCGAAATCTTGTTGGCGGCGATCGTTCCAATGGAAAGGCTCGTCCTTGCGGGTGAGCTCGTGGAGAGGGTAAGAGATCTCGGAAAAGTTGCGAATGAACGGGCGGTAATAGTTGGTAAGGCCAAGGAAGGAACGGAGTTGGAGAAGGGTCTTGGGTGGGGGGTACTCGACGAGGGCTGTGACCTTTGAGGGGTCCATATGGATGCCTTCAGCGGAGACAATATGGCCGAGGTATTCGACGCTCGAAGCGGCAAACGTAGAATTTTTGCTCGCGGAGGATCGAGAGAACTTGGCGGAGGTGCTGAAGGTGGGACTCGAAGGTGGGGCTGAAGACAAGGATGTCATCAAGCTAAACGACGACACAGACTTCGAGGAGGTTGTGGAAGATGTGGTTCATGGTAGATTGGAAGGTAGC